CTCTCCTCTGTCTCTCCCAAAATCATTTCTTCATGCTGCAGGATGAAGCAGAAATCAAGGACTATTCACCACTCTCAATCCAGGGATCAAACAATTATTCAAAATAGTTCCACATATTGAGTGCCTGATTAAGCATGTTCTCTACACATTTTGTTTCATTCGGTCCCTACAGTAATCTTGTGTGGTAAGAATCACTTTCATTTTCCCCATGAGAGAAGTGAGACAGGCTAACCCTGTGAAAGTTGCAGATAGTAGGATGAAATCGCTTTTTAGTCAGGTCCAACATACTAAAGCAAAAAGAAAGAGTTCATGCTTGTATGGCTGAGATAAAGACGGTCTCAGGGACTTTTTAAAATAACCTCACAAGAAATACTTTCTTTAGGACTACTGCAATTCAGATAAGATGTTCTCAAAAGAACACCGTTCAGTAATAGCATCTGCAGCCATTACTAGACAGGTATGTCCAGCAATGTAACTAAATTGCCGTTTAATTATATCGGCAATTAACTGATGCCAATTCTGGCTCTGAGTGTCCAAAACGAATAAACTCTGTTTCCAAGCAGCTTACATGAACTTCTCCCTATGCCAATAAAAGCTTCCCTTTCCCTTCCCTCTGCAGATGCATATGTGGCTTGCCATAAGTGTGCATCTTGGTCATAATCTTTATTTCTATTTGCCAAATACATCGAACATATTTGAATGCATTTTTCTTTGTTGTTGTTTTCTGGGGTTAACAACCCACTGATTTTCTGAAGGTTGCACAGCTAACAAGTGGTGGCATTGACGTTTGAACCATGATGGCTTGTCCCCCAAAGTCCATGTCCTTTCATATTTAGTCTCATAAATTACCATGATCAGCACTTTTCCCTGATCGGAAGATCACGCTTCAGTTGGTGATCTGAAGCACACCTGATTCTTGCCATTCTTGCCACTTTCATCTTCCACCCTCCAAAATCCGGGTCAGCCTTCTTATTGGGGCTGGTTGATTTGCTCTCTGATTTATTCTGTATTTGTATTTATTGTTTTGTTATGAGAAGAGGTTGGAAAAAATAAAATATCAAGATCACAGCCATCCTTGGAGAGAAAGAAAAAAACTTATGTGTTAAAATGCTGTAAGCATTCAAAGGTCTTTTTGACATACAAGAAGAAATCTTTTTGACATGGAAGAAAAATATCCAGACACTGAAGGTTTTATAAGAAATTACAAAGAATGTAAGGAAAAAGATGTTTTTCCAAAGTAAATGAAAAATCTGATGGGCTATGCATTAAGAATGGTAATGCAATACTAACAGGCCCTGCCCTACAAAGTCATTTTTAAGTCAGCTGCTTTGTTTAATGTTCAAATTTCCGTTTAAATCAATAGCACTTACTTTGCTTTCTTCAGAAGGCATTTGCATTCCAGTAAAACACATGCACACACACACACACACACACACACACACACACACACAAAATGGGGATAGAAATGAGTCAGCCATTTCCTGTCCTAACATTCAAATCCGCTTTTCTGAAAACATGATTCAAGCTGTCCAACAATAATTTAATTGGCTGTTCTGTAAATTACAGGGCCGACCACTAAATAAACACCAGAGAAGTGTGCATGAGTATTAGTCATCAGCTATCATTTTTCTGATAATCTGAACTTTTTATGCCTATAATCGTGAAATACTATATTACACAAGGTTATGAAAAAGTCTGCTTTCTATGGAAACTTCAACTTCTGTTGTTTTTATGCATAACATGTATCATAAATTTATGACTCACAGTTAGCACAAGATATCTGAAAAAAAGCAATGTATCTAATAGGAGTGCTGATGATAACCTCTGGTGAAGGGATGGGACCCTGATATAATAAATCTATTTGATAAATGGTTAAATGGTGACGACGAGGAGATCAATGTGAATTGGAGGGGGATATATGGGCTGCAGAGCTCTCTTTTAGCTGTGTTTTGTTTCATATATTTGTTATGAACCAGATAAAAATAATACCATAGGTTTATCTTTTTGGTGATGACACACAATTGAGATAGTTGAAAATAGAATGAATCATAGAATCAGGATATAAAATATAACATGCTGATGTAGCAGCCGGTCTCCAACTATAAAGAATTCAATTGGGATGACAGTACTGTCTTAGTTTTTCATTAAAAAAAAAAAAAAAAATTAAGGGGTGAGCGCGGTGGCTCACGCCTATAATCCCAGCACTTTGGGAGGTGAGCAGGGGAGGATCATGAGGTCAAGAGATTGAGAGCATCCTGGCCAATATGGTGAAACCCCATCTCAACTAAAAATACAAAAATTAGCTGGTCATGATGGTGCACATCTGTAGTCCCAGCTACTCATGAAGCTGAGGCAGGAGCAACTCTTGAACCCAGGAGGCGGAGGTTGAAGTGAGCCGAGATTGCACCACTGCACTCCAGCCTGGTGACAGAGCAAGACCCTGTCTCAAAAAAAAAAAAAAAAAAAAAAAAAAAAAAAAAAAAAAAAGACATCGAAATAGAAAATACATGGTGAATAATATGGAAAGCTGTACCTGTAAAATACCTGGACATTTTGAATTTATGGTCAGCTCACTATTTGTCAACAATATGTAATGCTGCCAGAAAAAGCTGATAAGATCTTGGGTTGCCTTAATAGAATTAAAGTATCTGGGTTGAAGGAGGTTTCAGGCTTAATTGAAGTCTCCATAAGTTTCTGATCAGAACACATCTTAACCATTAGTTTCATTTGGAATGATGCACTTCTAGAATAATATAGGCAAAGTGGAGCTTATTAGAAGATTAAGAATGAAGGCAAAATAACTAAATGATGGGTATAATTGACATCAAGATATTTCAACCAGAGAAAAAGAAAACTTAGCATGAGACAAAGACCTAATAGATACCTTGAAATATTTATATATCTGTCATTTAAAAATTCACAAATGGCAACAAGATGTAGAACAAGAATCCATGAGTACAAATTCCTTTTTTCATTTTATAATTTTTTTTTTTAAAGACGGGATCTCACTATGTTGCCCAGGCTGGCATGCAATGGCTATTCACAGGCCTGACCATACTGCATTATAGCCTCCAACTCCTGGGCTCAAGCCAACCTCCTCTCTCAGCCTCCCAAGTAGCTGAGACTGCAGGCATGTACCACTGTGCCCTCAGCAAATGTTTTTACACTCAATAATTGCATGTTCCATTCCACTGCAATTTGAAGAACTATACATTTCAGAGCAATTGTGTCATATTTAAGATTTCAATAACATTTCCTTTATTCATTCATCTTTCTTGTAACTGAAGCCTCTTAATGTGCCCACAATGTGCCATGGGTTACCATTGTTTAATTTTGTCTTAAAATACTTATTTCTAGCTCTTAGGGACAGGTAAACCAAATATATATGTGGATTTAGCTTTCTTTTTTCTTTTATCATAAGCAGGGGACTTCCAAGGGAAGCTATAAATGGTTATAAATGAGAACCTACATGACTTGTAATAATACCCTGAAATCCTCTTAAAACAATTACTGTGCTTTCTCAAGCCATTAACTTATGACCACAACTGATTATCATTAAAGGAGCACTTACGGGGACTTGACAGTATAAGGCTTTATGCAAAAATGTGTAATAGGACTAACTTCCCTGAAAAGATCCCACATTCTTTTGATATTTGAGAAATAAATATAATGGACACCATGGGCCCTTGAGATTTTTGGTTTAAGATTTTCCTTTAAAAATAATACTATTATTTTCTGAGGACATGAGAACAGTATTGCTTTATTTAGCTTAAGCAAACCTAAAATAGATCAGAGGAAATAATGTTTTTTTCTTTTCTTTTTTTTTTTCTTTATTCCAGGAAACAGAGGAAATAATTAAATGAGTGAACATATATCTTTCCTTGTTGCCCACTCATGCCAAAATTGATGTGTCTTGAAAGTACAAAATCACTTATAATGGGGGAAATATCTTTAAAATTTAAATTTGTCTTCAGAGAGAGATGCCTAGTAGTCTCAATAATTACTGTAGAATAAAGTACAATGCCGATGATTGTATTATGTACTGCAGTCTTATGAACAAGCAAACATGGTGTTTTATAGCTGCATGAGGAAGGAAGTTTACTGAAAGTAGCTATTAATGTGTTCATTTATATCCTGCCTCCCTGAATAGGCCCCAAATCTAGAGAGAATACAGAGCGGGAAATTTCACTCCCAATTTAGCCCTCTCTCTAGACTCTAGAGGAAGCTGCTCCACTGGCCTCTCATGCAGTTGAAACTGAGCTGGACAAATTGAGCCTGATCAACCACCGGGCCCACAGCCCAAGCACCAGACTGGAAAAAAACATGAGCTAGTGGGCTGGACAGACTCTACCTCAAGTCAGGAACATTTCAGTGTGAGAAATAAGAGATGCTTTCCCTGGAACTGATGTTGGTCAAGATACTGCTGGGTCTTCTTTTAGCAGTTCCAATTTTGGAGAAAATTCTGGGAAAAATCCAGAATCTGAACTAGATTCTTAGTTGTTGTTTCAACAGCTGTTACATGTACAGCGAATAGCTGTTTGATTTTCTTAGAGCTGCTCCTGACACAAGACAATGAGGCAACACTTCATATTCAGTCTCCCTGAAATTAAACTTACTCTGCTTTGCTTTACAAACCAAGAGAAAAATGGCGATCATTTGCCAACACTGGCAAGAGTAATTAGGGCTTCTGGAAAAATATTTTTAAGAAAGTGTGTGAATAAGGGGTAAAAAAAAATCTTTGTCATTATTTTGGAAATTATGAATTTCTAGACTGAAATTCTTAGATACCTAGTTATATCTTGTCCAACTCCATATTCCATTCTTGATGAAACTAAGTTTTAAGTAGATAATGTGTCTTACTGAACATCAACATCACACTGCCAAGTAGCAAGGCTGAGACTAGATCCAGCTTATGATCAAATGTATTATCCTAGAGAACAGATGGCCGACCAGCCATGATTCAGCACTCATGACAACCCAGAACAGTACCCGAACAGTACCTTTCATGGTGGGTGGTGTGTACACACTCTGCTTCCTTTGCTTAGGGGATGCATTCTGTGACTGTGGAGAAAGAGAAAAAAGTAAAAGCCTTAGATTTGGATACAAAGTACAATGCCATCAGACCTGTGAGGGAAATAAATACAGTGTCATGTTATGAAGAGTTTTCTGATATCTCTCTGCCGTAAAATATAATCTCATTAATGAGAAATTTTATGTGTGTGTGTGTGTGTGTGTGTGTGTGTGTGTGTGTGTGTTTATGTTCAGTCGTATTACAGACTTAAGAGATATATGGAGTAGGTCTATTTAATCTTAAGATTCTTCATTCACAGCAGCCTTGAAATCATTTTACTTTCCCACCTAGTAACATTAATTTATTTTAAAAAGAAAGTGAAAAAGAGACACCAATCCTTTTCATTTGAGAGAAAAGCAGTCTGAGTTCCATGACAAAGTATATTCCAAAAGCTACATCCATGGAATAACAGTATCTGTTCCTGGGGTTATTGAGTGATTCAGGAAGGACAATGAGGATCCTTGGAAAGTAATAGCAATCTAACCCTCTTGAATTGGTGTGTTCAACTATTACCTGCATTTACTTCAAATTACAATGAGGTAATATTCTTCACATGTTCAAAATGTAAGTTCTTTCCTAATAAAACTGCTATGTGACACTCCTACCCAAGCATTATCGGATCAGGATAAAGTTATTTTGCATTTCAAAATGAAAAAAATAAGAACTTATTTCAGGGTCAAAATACAGATAAGGACATAGAGCTATATAAAATAGATATACGTATTATTCATTTAACAAATTATATGATCTACCCCAATTAGAAAATGGCAAAGACTGTGTTTTAATAGCATGTTGATTTGTGTTTTAATGTGGCATGGGAAGGGGTATTAATCAATGAGTTTTAGTGTCTAGAGCAATTATTTTGACTTTGAAAAGTTCAAGTGTAAATAGTTACAATATACTACTTGAAGATTGTTCCAGGCTTGCTATGCACATTAGGAATAACATAATGTACAAAGTTTGAAATAAACTAGAAACTGTTTTATATAGTTGTAAATAGACCTTGAGGTATCTTTCCTCATACCTACTAAAGATTAATTGCCCTTAAAGTTATCATCAAGATGTTATTTATCTAATGCAAAAGCGACAATTAAAAACTAAAAACTTCAATAAAACAGTTACCAAATCCATATCAGCTGAGTAAATAATACAAACAAATTTATCCAGAAGAGAGTTTTGTGATACCTGTATTTTATGCACAGGTGTAGACAGGGTAACTCTACATTAATGTTAAATACGTAAATGATTGACATTTCTGGGGCACTTCTATTTTTTTCAGTCACATCTGGCTGGTTTTGAGAAGCAATCACTTCTGGGATTTTTAATGTTTAGTTCCACACACATATTTGAAGATCAAATGGAAAATTAACTCAACAGAAATTTTTTATTGTCATTAGTAACGCAGTGTAAACTTACTAATAAAAACTACTTTATGTAAGAGTTTAGTTTTCAAAGCTTTTCCACTTTTACTATCTCACAAAATTTTCAGAAAAGTCTTGTGATATACTATTTGATATTTTGTCCTTTCTACATTTTCCTCTTTAAGTATTGCTGTATGCCTACTCCTGCGATCTTGGGAATTGATTATTAACTCTGCATAGCATCCTATTCAATCTTTATTTCATTTCTGGGAACAAGTTTATTCACTTCGTGTTCCATATATTCAACATTACACACTCCCCTGTCCTCTCCTAGATCCTATTTTCTACAAAAACTTCTACACATGTGTTTGGAGGGAATTGGGAGTGACAGCATTCAGACAGCCTGCTGAATTTAAATCTGAATACATTTCTAGGTGAATTCCTTGGATCTGGTTACTCAAGCTTTGGAGGACTTCAGTCCCCCTAGACTTTGGCTTCAGGCTTTTGGCTCTACACACCAGAAGACCCTTTAAGAGGTATCATCCCTCTACCCCCATCTCCTTGCTCTGGGGTTCCAATATTACTTGGCTTAGCCTGTGATGTGCATATATAATCACTCAATAAATTGAATTTGTCAATACCATATTTTGCTATTAAAAGTGATGTTTTATTTCAGAAATTTTTTTCAGGGGTTAGCATTACATAGGTAGAGAATAAAGGTAACTGAGAGGCAGATTTTAATGACACTATATGACTGTTCATTCAGTCAGAAAGAGCAATCTGAAGTTTTATTCCAGTTGTGTCATATTTTATATCACATCAAATCAAGAAAATTTTCGCATTTTTTATTGATTTGAACACATTTATACAAAATATTTTTAAAAACTTACTTCCCCTTGTGTGTTGGGCACCCTCTTGTCATCTGTTTCTGTAAGAGAAGTAGGTATAATGTATTAGGCATGTAATATTCTTTCTTGTAATACACATGTTAACATTTTCAACAACACATATCAAAGTGATTTGGTAATTGCCTTATACTTATATGAAACCACAACTTACAGCTAGGAAGGAGAGGGAGACAGAGGTGGGTGGTGTCCTTCTGAGATAACCTTCTCCCAAAGGTTTAAGGTGTAGAAAAAGCTCTCCTCTTGACATCCCAGATTTCTCACCTTTCAGCAGTCCAGAAAGAGGACCAGGGAAATGACTCTTAGGTGTCATCAGCCTCACAGTTAAGGTTTCAGCAACTTCCTGTCCTCACTGATTCTGCTGCTGCAGCCACTATCCATTAATGAGAGCATCTGTCAAATTTCCTCAGGTTTGTCACTATCCAAATCAAATCTCCTTTCCCACTCAGTCCAATCACCATGATTACAGTGAAGACAGCATCCTTTCTATATGTCTCTGGAAAGAACTAATTGGTCCATCAAATATTTCTTATGGCAGTGTTTGGGTGGTTCTGATGACAGTGCTGTGTATGAAGGGTTGTGAGGAATGGTGGAGTGGAGGAAGAGGTGCTTGCACATGCACCTTTCACAGCGGGAAGATGTTCTAGGCTGGGTTTCTTTTTCACCTTGTCATCTACATTGCATGGTGTCTGCCTCTTGGCTTCTTGACCTAGGTCCCCTTTCCTGATCCTGAGCCCAAGGCTCAAAAACTAACCAACCATGATCCATAAACTGAATGAGGAGTTCATTAAAGAATATCTGCTTAAAGACAATGATGTAGATCTGTATTGACATGAAAACATATGCTATATAAGTGAAAAATATTTCAAAACTAAATGAATGGTATTTTTATTTTATAAAGGACAGATATCTGTAGATATAGATAGTGATGTATATATCATATATATATATATATATGCACAGAAGGCTACCAATATGTTAACTGTAGTTATCCTGGGGTGATTGCATTGCAAATGTTTTACCCCATTTGCGCTGCTTTTCTTTTTATAATGAGCATGTACTACTTTTATAACAAAAAAGCAGTATATATGTATGTATGTGGATATGTATATACATATATGTAGTAGAATTTCTCTATAAATACAACCACACACGAAGTTGATATTTCATATAGTAAGAGAACAAAATGGCTAAACAGCTAGGAATGGGAATAGTATATAAAACCATTGTTTATTCTAATCTGATATCTTGGTTGCTGAATGCTAAAAAGTTATGGAAACTTCTGATAAATTGTACTTTCTTTACATGAAGGAGGGCAGACACTTTAGTATGGCAATCACAAGTGTCTGATGCAATCACCGTAAGTATGTGGGGCATTGTCAGGCAGCTATGAATATACTAAATTGAACAACCCTGCCTATCAATGTGAAAGCTTTTGCTATCACATTATTATTAAATATCAAATATGATCCACTGCAGCAATGTGTGTAGTTGATCCATTAGATTATTAAATGCCAGTGGAGTCTCTTAATATTTTGCTTTTGATTAGGAGTTTATAAAATTCAACCCAAGACCTACAACTTTATGTTTTAGAAACACAATGGGATCCAGTCATTCAGTTTTCTACTTTTCCTTACTGTGTCACAATGCCTACTAAGACAGTGTTTTCCCAAGGAAACTATGAGGACCTCACTTATTAAATATTTCAATAAAACAAGTTTTTGTTTGTTTTGTTATTTGCTGTTGTTGTTGATTATGCTGATTAAATCAACTATGTTGTGAAGGCAAGAATTAAAAAAAATTCAGTCTCATACTCTTATCATGAAATTAAAATGTAAAAATTCAATAACTCACCTTTCAGGTCAAATTGACTCAGACAAATGTACAGGGGAAGCCAATAATAGATTACAGTTTTTTTGAGATTCACTGATTTAAGTGTATTTCTATTTTTCTTAATAGATTGTCACTAAATCGGGGAGGTCAATATTTTCTGCTTCCCAAGCAACTCATATAAATACACAAAAACATAAACACACGCAGACAGACCGACAGACACACACACACACACACACACAACATGCTCATAGAGCACATACAATGGGACAACAGACAACCACAATTACAGTGTCTCTCTAATTTGTACCAAGGAAGTTATAGCCAAAGAATACCTCCCAAATATATGCAAATATTGCCAGCTCTTTACACAAAAACATAAAAATGTTCATAACATTATCTCCATGTATTCCTTGGAGCCTCAAATTCTGACCCCACTGGCAATCCCAGAAGTCTTCAGGAAACTGGATCCCACATAAAACATAAGAAATATGTTTCAAATATTGTTTAGCTTTCTCATCAAATCAGAAAAAAAATTATTTTGGAGTTGAACAAAATCTGTTCATTAGCAGGTTATCCATAATCAAAAACTATAAATTTTCTGAAAGAGGCATTTGTAGCTGTTCCAGCCATATCTTGTTTAAATTTCTCTATTCATTTCTCAAGGACCACTTAGTCTGAAAGGAGAAATTTCTCAGTTTGTGAGGAAAATGTAAAACTCATCTAGGTACAACATTTTAAGAAATACTGTCATTATTAAAGATGAAGATAGAAATTTTTGTTTTGAGTATTGATTAGTTAGAATGCTAAGTTATTTAAGTTCATGAAAGAAGAGGACAAACTGAGAATGCAGGTGGATACACACATGAACTACAAGCACACAGCCTCTGCTTGTCTTAGTCAATGAGATCTCATTCAATTTTTGAAAACTAGTTGTAATAAAAAATTAAGTGCCTACAAAAATGAAGTGTAAGAGCAAAGGAAACAGGAAGACCATGGTCAAAAAATAAGGAAACGTGAATGATAATAGAATGAGAATTATAAAAACTAAGAAATGGACGGAATGCAGAGAGAGAACGCCAAGGAAAACCTAAGGAGCCGTGGTTGAGGCTGGCAGAAAAATCTGTCTTGGAGAAAGCACTGGCGAGCACACATAGTATCTAATACTGTTTCTTCTGTTTCTCTGTTGTGGCCACACTTAAGCCACACAATCTTCCCCAACTACAGAGTTCTTCATGTGTGATATGGGAAAGAGGAAGCATAATAATTCTTACTCTGTCTTCCTCATTTTGTCATAAGTTTGTTTGGAGGAATAAAAAAAAATGAGAGCATAATTTCCTGTTCCTTAAGTACAGACTGTAACTTCCTTCCAAAGAGTGCAGTATGGAAGAGGAGCGGGCAGAAATAAGCATCTTTATGGTGGGAAAACTTTATTCTGCCAGGTGACCAAGGTCAACACAGGTCGTAAATCATGTTGACAGTATGATTTCTTGATATGATGCTATGAAGATGGTACTTTGTATCAATGATCTTCCTCCTCAAACCTCTTAAGTCCCATCTAGTCATGAGAAAAACAGCAGATAATATCCCAATACAAGGACATTGTACAACATTGCTGACCAGTACTCTTCAAAACTGTCAAGGTCATGAAAAACAAGAAAAACCTGAGCAACTGTCTTAGGCAAGAGGAGCTTAAGCAGACATGATATTTAAATGCAATGAGGTATCCCAGTTGTGATTCTGGCTCAGACAAAAAGGGCATTATAAAATATCTCACTAATCTATGGATTTCAGTTCATAAAATATATCAATATTGGGTTATTTATTGTAACAATTTAATAGTAATGAGTTAGAATATTAATCGGGGAACTATGTGTGATGAAGGTGCTGCATGGCACTTCAAGTGCCCTCTGTTCAGTTTTTGTGTAAATCTAAAACTCTTTAAGAAATTAAGTCCACTAATAAAAACTTGAAAAATAAAACATCACTAAATACAAATAAAAGTCACCCTAAGAGTACATTTTTGTTCTTACTGTCAGAATTCTGTATGTATTTGGAAGAGCAACAGAGAGTCATGATTAGAAAATAGATAATGTAACTGTAAACAAGGTCATGAAAATATCATTTTGAAGTGTTATATGCGACCAATCAAAGAGATACACGAAAAGGCGAGAGCTAGCTTACAAAGAGAATATTTTAAAGTTTCGTTGAAGTTGTTGAAAGCTGCTGCAAGCAAAAATTTGTTAGAGGAAACAAGGAGGAATTAAACAATTTTCAAATAAGTCCAGTAATCATGGAAACCCTTTACCATGACATATTTACTCCTCAATGTGGAGAGAGAATGGAACAAAGCATAAAAGAAATGACCGCTAGTATCTGTTTGATTATACATATCCCGCAGCTTACTGCTTCTGTGAATTTATTCCCCATATCCAGAAAACTCCTGCTCTCATACTGAATACCACCATCCCTCAGAGTTCTGTTCAAGTGGCATTTCTTCTGGGAACTCTTACCCAATTCATGTCTCCCCTACGCTCAATTGGAACTCAACCCTCCCCCAGTCAACACCCACAGCACTTCCTTTATGCCTGTCTCATAGAACTCATCACCATATATCCTATATCATGCCCATTAGTGTTTTTATCTCCCACGTAAACTGTAAAAAAATGAGGATTATCCATCATGTTTGATTCTTCCACAGCTCTTAGCACAATAGCTTAGCTGACACACAATAACAACCTGTCAAATAAATTTATCTTAATGTCTACATTTCATAAAACCAGACCATCTATTCACTGCTTCTCTGTATTCCAAATTACAATAGTAGTCCAATTATTTGCTCATAGTAGGTGCTAAATAGACATTTTTAAGTTTTTAAGTGTTTGGTTTGCAAACTTTTTAAGGCAGAAGACATTACTTCCATTTTAAAAAATCAATTTACTAGGTTCAAATACTACACACACTCAAATTCTTATAAATATCACCTAAGTGGCTCAAAAGGAATCTTAGAGGGAAAATAAGGATGTATGACTTTCCTCTGTTGGTTTCTAGAGATTGGGAAGATTTCTATTTTGAGGACAATATGTATAAGACAAATTAAAAATAAGTGGTAGACAAAGTCAAATCAGATATATAATTTTACAGAAACTAGCCTTAGACAATAATTAAAATCATGGAAATAAATGATTTA